GAAGTTAGGCAGAGTGAGAATCTTGCGTATTATAAATACAGCAACAGAGTTGGTGTATTTATTTCTCTGATATTATCATTATTAGAATACCCAGAATTCTATAAAAACACTCATTTTAAAAAGTACTATAGTAGTTATTTAAAGGAACCCCTTAAGTGATTCTTTTCCTAAAATGAGGAATTTTTTGAGTTATGATTTTTATATCTTCAAACACTGTCAACATATCTAATATTGATATACCAAATGTCATAAAATATTTGAGTATCTGTTTTCGTCTTAGGGAATTGAGAAGCCTAGTGGAGATATAGTGGAAAGAGCTTTATTAGTTACAGATAAAATAATAAATGCTAGTAACCAAGAAGTCTTAGTGTCTAGCCATTAACTGGCTATGTAGCCTCGGTCAGGCCCTGAGCTTCTCTAGACCTAAGTTTCTTCATTGTTCTATAAAGTGAGAGTTAGCATGAATGGCATCTGTGGTTCCAGCTTTGAGATCTGTGGATTTTCTGTCTTAAATGTGTTCTGAGAAGGTCCCTGCCCTTGAGAAACTTCAGATTTTTTCTAGGTTTCCTTACTTCTGTTTGGCTCAGTTCCAAAAGTAACGTGCTTGTTTACAAAGGAAAACACAACTGGAAAATGTATTATGCAGAAAGGAGACGTCTCCTTCAGTCCCACCCTCTGAGACATAATCATTCTTAAAATAGGTATATAATTATCTTGACTTATTTCTGTGCATAGATTAGTTTTTTTGTGATTTGTTTTGTGTGTGTATATATGTATATCTGTATGTCTTAGTTATACTGTACTAAAACTTGATTTTTTTTCTTGTAACAGTTGAGTAATGGATATCTTTCCATGTCAGTACATATAAAGCTACCATATTTTTAAAATGGACTCACAGAATGTCACTAACGGAATATGGGAGGTACAACAAATACACATTTTGGCCAAATGGTGAAGTGTTAAATCATATTTAGCTGAAGCTAAAGCAAAATATTACTTTCATAGAATGGACATCCAGAATACAAGAAAAAATAGAAAATTTCAATAAAACTATTAAGATTTTATTATGAAAGTTTTTAGTAGCCAGATTTACTTTTGATAATCTACAGACATTCTCCTTTCTCACCACTGTCTGCTGTTAGATTGTTCCTGCAGTCACTATACTGTACATTTGTGATACTAAATAAATGGTGGTTTTCAGCTGAGGTGGGTAGAGGAGTAAGATGTTATTTGACTAGCACTGCCAGAGTGGAGTACTGCTGATGGTAATTGCCCCTTACAATTACATTTGTTCTCTCTAATGGTAACTAGGTAAAGACTTATCTACTCATTAACCCCTGTGCTTGGAGATTCGTTTGATGATCATGAGTATCATTGAGGAATCCTAGAAATTGAAGCATTGTGCACTGCTTGAAATATTCTTTCTGACTATTTTCAGAAGTATACTTAAGATTGCTGCCATCCCATACATCTAACTTTATAACATATGCTTCACACAGTTAGTTGATTGGAAAAAATCTGTCATGAATTTTGGCTTTAGAAATATGGCACTAGAGCAATGTAGTTCCCTTTCAAGAGAGAACAATTGTTTTAGTATCACCTGTATCTACCTTTCATCGCATGCATACCAACCTCAGAATTGTGGCTGGAATAGAATATGAGACTTTTTATCATGTAAGAAAAATGTGAACTTTCAAGGTGTATCAGTTTCCTTTCTTTTTTTTTAAAGCAGATTCTAGTGACTAAATTAATGCTTCCTAAGCAATCATTGGCAAGCCTGCTATTGTATTCTTATCTGCAAGGTAGAATATTGTGGGATTTTTGTTGCACTAGCTGCTTTTCTACCTTGTTTGAGGATGTTGTATAAGTATACAGCAAGGCAATTTCACAACCTCTTTTAAGTCATGGAATTAGTCTTTGGCTTAAGAGGAAGGAAGAAAGTGCTATACTCCTGTTATACTTTCCAGTTCTGTTCAGTCCACTGTGCTGTAATTACTTCTGAACACACAGCTGGTGAGTGTGACCAAAACTTTGAATGCTGATGCCTCCTAAGACATTCTCACTTATCCATGTTTGTCCCATTGTCAACCACAGCTGGCTGTCTCTGTTCTTAACTGGTGTCCATTCTATACTTCAGTCAATTTTACCAAATTAGTGTGGGAGACCAGGAGCTCTTTTAGCAAACGAATGAAGCAGGAGCAGAATTGAATACATTGTTAATGTGCTGTCTGTTTAAAGAATGTCTCTGATCACTTCTGCAAGTCCACATATCTGATGTACAAGATATAGGCATGGTATATTTAGTAATAACGCCACTGTTTTTGTGCACGCCTTGATATATACTTCAGGGAGAAGAATTTGGGGAACATGTTTTCCAGAAGCCCTCTTGATTCCAGGATTCGTCATTTTGACAAGTCGAAACATTTTTTCATCTTCAGTGAGAAGATGGGTGGGGGGTTGACATTCCTTAGTAGTCATTTTAACAGCTTATTTTTCAAAATTAGCCTCTATATGCTTTATTTATTAGGGCTTTGAAATTGTGTTATTTTGAAGTTTGATTACTGAAAGCAAAATGTGTTTTAGGTATTTAATTTTTCTCAAATGTTTTTTTGTATTTTTTTATGTGCATACTTTATTTTGTATGAATCAAAGAAGACTTCATGGATGTCATTGTGATTTTTAGTTTTTCCTAGTCTTGAAATTTTTACATTGTAAAATAACTCCAGTATCTTAACCTCTGTGGATCTTGCTTTTCTTTTTTTCCCTTTTCTCTTAGTTTTCTGTTATCTTGGTCTCATCTCTTATTACCCCTGATGGTTTTTAATGAATTTTGGACATGTGTATAAGAAATCGTGGAGATAATTTTTTGCTATTGATAATGTCATTTTCCTCCAAAAAGAATTTACTTTTACTTCTTGTAGGCAGAATCAGAGATTGAGCTGATTCACAGCTGTGCCTCAGATTTTGTGAGGGCTGGCCTATTCCTAATTGGCCTATACCTGCTTCTAAGATGTAGTCATCAGGGGTCCCACCTGAAAGCCCTGATTTTCTAAGACTTCCTCATTCATGGCATGGAACTCTAGTCTTTGTCCACCTAGTGCCGTAAGACTAATGGAAGCTCTTTGCAGCTTCACAACCTCCCTGGTTGTTTACTTTAAAGCTCAGTTTTTCAGTCTCTCAGCATGGCCTTCGGAAATTGACAAATAACTCAAAGACAAAAGCAGTTTTAAATGTTAGACTTCCCTCCTTGCACTTCTCTGTGGGAGCTTTGTCCCTCACGTCCTCAATGTTATGGTAGCTCTCTAATGTCTAATGTTTTCAGATAGAGAGGTGTTTCCTTTTCTTTTTCCTTTTCCTTCCCTTTTCTTTCTTTTCCTTTCCTTTTGTCTTTTTCTTTCCTTCTTTCTCTTCTTTTCTTTCTTTCTTTTTTTCTTTTTTTCTTTTCTTTCTTTCTGGCTAAAGTTCCTAGTTCTCAGTAAGAGGATTGATTTGCAACAAGCTGTTTAGCCATTGTTGGACTCTTACCTGTATTCGAAAGTGAATATTTGGATATTAAAAATAAATATGTATAGCACGCCTAGTTTGCATTACTGTTATCTTGTGCTGAATTACATATTATAGTAATCTGTGCAATCATAGGATTTTTTGAGGTTTTTGTGTAGCCCTTTTTAAAAATTAATGTTACACAGATATTGATAAAGTACACACATATAATCACAATACATACATGCACACATACACATATATCTACATCCACATATAAGACCTTATTATATTATTCAGATCCTTTATATCATTTTTGAGGGATCAAATTGATTTACCAATGACTGAGTATTAAAAATACTCTTACCCTTTTTCAAGATAAAGAATGTTGATCCATTTTGCCTTGAACTGGATCTTATCAAGTGTTAATGTTGTGATACACATATTTTGGAATTGGTGGGGGTGGTGTAGGTTTTATCTTTAAATTTATCTTTGTCTTCTTAATTTTGAATTCTTCACTTCTCCCCCCTACCCCCACTTTTAATTTAGAAGTAAAGAACGAATTCTATGGTAAATCACCTGAGAGGTATCACAGAAGGAGGAAGTCGACTATACCTGAGGTCTTGAAGTATAAATAGGATATGAATAGGTAGAAATGTGTGGGTCTTTCAGATGAGAGGGAAGGACTGAAAAAGAAATGAGGATAGTATGGAATCTGAGGATAGTTTGGAATGTGAAAAAGGCTGACTCTGGAGCTGAAGAAATAGGAAGTAAATGTGGGTAAATGAAGTAGGACCACAATTTGGAGGATCCCGAAAGCCAGGTAGAGGAAAAATTCTTCATTTATGAATTAGATGTTCTTAATGCAAATAATGAGATAAGTATACATTTATAAAACGTGTCAAAGCTTGCTGTACAGGATTGTCTTTCATGCTTATTCATGTCAATATTACTTGTTCATTTTCCTTTATTCCAAGAGCTCAGAGCAGTGAAGCCTGATTCACATTAATCGAATCTCACATTCTTTGAGTTTTATTTTGCATTTGACATTCTAAGCAGGTGACTTTTAAAGTTGTTGGGGCGTATAACCTCACCTCAGAGAGATATTTTAAGTCTGTCTTATTGTGGATCAGTTTAGAACTGCTTTTCTTCAGTTCTGTTTTTCTCCTTTTCTGCCGTGCCCACCCTCAATGTCCTAAATTTTCTCACATACCTTCAGCAGATGAAATGAAAATATGCTAAATATGGGTAGATGGCCATGTCTGCTGGCCTGAACTGTTCAGGTGTCTCCCAAGGAGCATGATGGATGGTGGCTTATTGAGTCGAATGAAACAGTGAATGCAGATGCCCACTGTGCACAGTTCACTGTGTAATGACGTAGAAGCCAGGACCTTCCGTCAAAGGATATCACTGAATTTGGGATGGAAATGGCATTTTTCTTCCCAAAGAGGAATTTAGAGAGCTAATTGTTTTCCTTTGGCTTTTACACAAAATTGTATGTTTTTTCCTATTCCTAGGGGACTCCTTCTCACAGTTCCGGTTCGCCGAGGAGAAAGAGTGGGATGGTGAAGCTTCATGTCCAAAGCAGGTAAGATGAAGATTTGTCTTGAATGTGAGTTGGCTCTTCTCAAGGCTGAAGACTAACGTCTTTCGTATTATTGTTCAGGTAGAGTCTTCACATAGAAAAGAGTTTAGTAATTCCTGTTACCCAAATTGTTCAGAAAATTTTCATGGAGCTTAAATTATACAGGTTCTTGAAGCTAGAGGTCACCTTTATACTTGCTCATTTGTGTGAATTGCTCATATAAACTAGGTTTCAAGGTAGAAAGTTTATAGTCATGATTTTGAGTGGATTACTTTGCTATTTGGCTGGCTTTCTTTTCCCTTTCTGTGAAAATTCCCCTTAGGGCTGAAAACTAATTTTTTTCTTCCACATTGCTTTTGGTGTTGAGAAAATCTTTAACTCTATAGCTTTAAATAACTCTTCTTCCAGAATTAGGGGAATAAAGCTATAAAATAAGAATAAATATCATAGAAGTCTTTCAGTGAATTCATAAAGTGCAGATATTTTATTTGCTTTGTATTCATGCCATACTTTCTTCCCAAAGAGTTTTGATTGTTTTCCAAGCAGGATTTCACTGATCCTTTCCACATGAGAGATGACAGGTATTCTTACCCCCTTTAAAATGCACAGAATTATTGGTGGCTTGTCATATACTCCCTGATTCCAGGACTAGAGCATATTGTCTGACAATGATTAGACAATCTGTCCACAGCCTTAGACAGGTGGCTGAGCAGCAGACTTATAGCCCAAAGATAAGGCATCTTCCTTCCTGTTCTGCTACTACACACATCACTTATTTTATCTCTGGGCTGGTGTTATGTTTAGGATGGATATTGACTTATCATACAGACTGAGGTGGGAAAGTTATTTATGAAATGAGTTCCTGTCACTTTACAAAGAGTATGTATTATAATATACAAAAAGTTGGGGATTAAAAGTATTTGTCTTTGCTTGAGTCTCTTTGGACACATACCTTAGGTACAGTTTAGAATTCTAGTACAAGCTGAAAACAAACTGAGATCATCAAAGAATATGGTAAAAGCCAACAACTCACATTTAAACTCCTTTTGAACCATGTTGGCTATCGGGGAATATTTCATTTATCTTGAGAGTTCCAAATAATTTCGAGCACCTGTATATACTAGATATTTTATTAGACACAGCTTATTCAAGACAGAAATCATGCTTGTTCAACACACTTGGCCCTTTGCCTTAGCACAGTGGCTGACATATAGCAGATGATCAGTAAAGATTTAGATGAAAAAGAATGCAACATAAAATAAGTGATATAATAAATGAATTGACCTAATTCTGTGGAAGACAGCTGTTGTGGGCTGGAAGTGATTGAGAGCAGTGCACAGGGAAAAGATCATTTGAATGGGCCTTTGTGGGTGACTACGATTCTGGTAGGTCCTGTTGCAGGGAACAATAGAACAACAGGGAAATCTGGAAGACCAGGCTGAGCTCAGCTGTGGAGTGTGGCTGGAATGTAGCTTTCTTAGAGCAAGAGGCTTCAAGCTTCAGGCTGGGATAGTTAGTACCAGCAGTTAGCTGTTTATTTTCTTCTGCAGACAGTTTATCATGTGGGTGCGAGCGTAGACTTTGGAGAGACAAACCTGTGTGTGAATCCTGGCTCTACGACTTGGGCAAACTTCTTTCCTTCTTTGTTTTCTCAATGGAGCTAATAATAAAATATAACTTGGAATTGTAATGAGGATAATAAATAAAAGCCCTTATATGTGCAATTCCTGGCATATATGAAACACTCAAAACTAGCTCTTGTGATTACTATAATTTGTTAACAGAAGTTTTATTTAGCAAGAAAATGGAAATGGCTAGATTTGACATCAGCGATACTGGGAAGGAGGGACTGAAGAGATGAGAGGTTGGAGGCAGGGAAACCAGTTAGAGAGGGTATTATGTTGGAAAGAGATGGTGGGGCAGTGAGGGTAGAAAAGGGGTTCCAGGTAGATGGGACTTCAGCAAAGAATGAGATAGCTCTGTCACTGACCAGATATGAGACATGGGGGCAAGAAAGATTTATAGAGGTGCTGAGCTTTCTTGCTTGATGATTAAATGAATAGTGATACCATTAATGGAACAAAAGAAGGGTAAAAAGAAGGCAAGTTTGATTTTGAACTGTTAGAGTTGAGGTACCAGTAGGACACATCCACAACTGAATTCATCATTTCTCCCTTGGAATTGTTTCCTGTCTCTCTTAACTCCTCTTTCTTCTTACTTGAGAGAGAAAAAGACAGGAATGACACAAGACAATAAAGAGAAAGAGGAAAAAGTAGTACTAGGAGTTTGATAGGGGTGCATGTTAGGTCTCAAAAGGCATCCTGATAAGAGAGACCCAGCACCATCGCTTTGACTTGCCTTAGTTTCTTTGTGGTTTCCCTGTGGGGTGAAAGGGCCGTAGCCTGGCAGTCAGGGTCTCAGCTTTAGCTGTGTTGGCTCACGTTACTATAGGGGAGTTGGTCCCTTAGGTTCATGAGTGAGA